TTGCGTTATCAAGTATTTCAAAAAGATGGCTGTTATTTCCCGATCAAGATCAATTAGATTCTCGTCATGTAGTTCAAAATACAGCTTCAATTAACCCTGACAATTTTATTTCACTTAAGTCTAAGCTTTATATGGTTGAAACACGATATATGGGCTTTTTAGATGAACAGCAAAAGTCAGTCCTTCTAAACCAACTTGATGATATTTTGACAGTTCCAGAAGTTAAGCTTTCTGATATAAAAGTACCAGAAAAAATTATAGAAAAAGGCCGTCCTTCCGGAACCAAATGATTACCAACTGCATTGGAACGTATGGAACAGGAGGAAAAAAAAAGAAAGAAAATCGATAATAAAAATAAAAAAAATTCCAAGAATGTCAAGAAAGAAATATATATATATATATATATAACATACCTTCTTTTAGATCATTTGTAGTCTAGATCATAAAATATAACATTCGTTAGAATTTCATTAATAAATCGTATATATAAGTAAACCAATGTGTAAAGAAAAAAAAACATACACTAAATTCTACAGTGATGGTAATTGTTTCTTTTTGGTCATCTTCTTTAGCCGTAATTTTTCCAATTGAAATGGATTTATTATCCCTATCTTCAATTATAGGAGCAGCATGAGTGCTTGCTGCAAGGATGAGACAGATTACAAGGACCAAGAAATAAAATCTTTTGTTGAATTTCATTTTGATCTTATAAAAACTGTTTCTTGTTGAAAAATTCGTATATGTGAAAGATTCTTTAAATGTTCGTATGTATGAAACTTCAAAGGAATGAAGAGTATGAGAGGAATAAGAAGACTATTTATAAGCTTTGAATCCATATGATCAGATATGATCATGAGATTTCTCGCCCGTTCACTTTATTTCTTAATTATTTTTACTATTACGTGATTTTAACAACATTCGTTTATATTAGCCTTTTTCGTTAGTGGAGAAAATTCTTGGCTACTAACATTAAAGTTTTTTTTTTTTTTAGTTTAGTCTTGGCGACAAATACTGATCTTTTTTCTTTAGTAATTTTTAATGCTTGTGTTGTCAATAACGGTAACAATTCCTTTAAGATTATACTTATTTTGTAAGTTGATTTTATAATTTTAGAGTATTATGACATGACATCAATTGGTCTAGAAATAAATTATCCATTTTGACAGTTTAGGACATTAAAAAAAAAAAGAGCTATAATTTATCAAAACTGGCGATATTAACATTCTAATCCCCGATCACTATATCAAGATCACGGGAGGATTAATTAATAATATCCTGACCGTATGTGAATAAGCGGAAACTTCGTTTCCGCTAATTCCCAACGGATCAGGATATTACAAATATTTACGAAAGATTGAAATTATTATTACAATAGCCATTATAAACAATGTGATCATAACCGAAATTCATAATAAATATGACAATATGATGATAGAATTCACATCTTATTATACGGCTCAAATATAGGCGTGTTTTATGATTAAATGTTAATTACTATACGTAATTTGTGCGTGTTCGCTTTATCCTAATTTATTCATTTTTAATAATTTAAATGTCGGATAAATATGCAGTATAATGCGCAATACTAACTTAACTAGGAATCTGAATCTGATTGTACACTACTGTTGCACCGACTGCAGATCAGCTCGGGAACCATCAATTCGCGAATTTCATTGGCTGCTTCTGCTGGATATGAATTCGTCTTTATATTGTTCTCGCTTCGTTTCGAAAAACAAGTTGGTTGCAAAATTAAATATTAAAAATTAGAATGTTTCAAAGTTTATTACCGGTAAATCAGTGCTAGAGGTTGGAACCGGTTTTAATAATTCGAGTTTATCACGTGAATTTTGTGATATTTTGGAATATAATCCAATTAAATTTGAATAAATTCCAAAATATCACAAAATTCACGTGATAAACTCGAATTATTAAAACCGGTTCCAAACTCTAATCAGTGCAATTTCATAATTTCAGTAGAATGACTAAAAAAAAAAATAGCATTTGCTAAATTAGTTATAAGCGAGAAGTATTGAGAACTTTCTATTTTTCAAACCTAAATTTTGTCATTCCACCAGTATTTTTTTTACTACCAAGTTTGCGTAAAGTGGAAATATGTACAGTAGATACGTGTGTACTCATAAGGAAAATTAACACCATTTTAGCATTACTGCATTATCAATAAAAGTATGTACGTACGTATGTACATACATGCGTATTAATGTCATCTTTACGTAAGACATCATAACTATATTTAGAAAATGGTTTAAATTTTGTTATTGTAAATTTTACCCATGTACAATCCATATGTTATTGTTATTGTTGTTGTTACATGTTGTGGAAACTTTCATATTGTGTTACTTCGTCATATGTAAAAGGTTTTAACCATGTTTTGGGAAGTGTTCAATAAACAATGCTATGGAAAACGTGGATAAAAACAGGCCTACCGAATAATTGATTGTGGAGGCAATTAATTGCAATATTTCGAACTCAATTAATTGATTGGTGGCGCAGCCATAATTGGTCAATTTAATTGCAATTTTACGTAATTGGATTACATATATATCCGCCATTCATCACAGCAAATAAATGCGATTTTAGATTTTTCGCTGTTTAAAAATCGGATTACATCAGGCATCGCTTTACGCATAAAATTGCAATTAATTGCAATTATTTCGTCATTAATTGGGTTTCAATTAATTTCATGATAATTTTAATTGATTTTAATTGTATGACGTATGATAAAAATTAATTGAAATTAATTTTTCGGTAGGCCTGGATAAAAATAATTTCCTAAAAATGTCAAGTTTTTAAATCACATGTACTTTGTGTTTAATCGTAAAGGATGCTTGCGAGAAAGCAGAATTTCTATTTGCAATATAGTTAATACGTATTAGATAATTCGTATAACGTACGTGAAACGGTGAAACGATGCTTGATTTCCATCGATTCTTCGATTCTGTACAAAATATTACATCATATTTGATGGTTCATTAAGTGGCGTGTACGTACGTACGGCGTTTTAAGTGTATGTACGCGCGTAGTGCATGTGTACGTACATACGTACAACATCTGATATAGAACTCCAATTACTTTTATAGAACAAAAAGATACGCAACTAAAATTCATTGATGATTCTCAATACAGTAGCGGGTTAACACACTTGAACAGTTAATATTATTTTTGAGCAAAAGATTGAAGATCTTGGATTTTCTCGCTTTTATTGAACTGACAATTTAAAAATTCATTTCAATGTGCTACTATATTATGCATCATCTCTATATCGATATAGAAAGATTGAAAGAATTTCTTTGATCATAAAACTTTCTGTAAAACTTCCAAGTTTTTTGAGTCTGTCCAAATTTGAATGCCGCAACGTGAAAACTAGGTGCCTAAAAATAGAATTCTTTATAAAACATAATCGGCCCGATCCATTAGGATAAACAATTGCACTGTTTTTTGATCACCATTTAGTGCCCGTATTCCCGTTGGCTAAAAAAAATTGTTTTTTTAGATAGAACTTTCTTTTCTGAAAACATAATTATTTATTATTTTCATAAATAAATATATAATTTTATTTGGTGTTTGTATGCGTACTCTGAATGTTAACAAATATAGATCTTGATTATACACAATATAAATATAAAATACAGTCGTCCTCCTCTATAATCACACGGTTTTGTTTTACATAAAATGATATGATTATAAAATTTTAATAGTATTGTGATTATATAAAGTTATTTTTAATAAATAAATTGCCAATAATTTTTCAAAAAATGGCGCTTATAAAGAGGGTGTGACTATATAGGAGGTGACTGTAGAGGAGGACGACTGTATAATAACAGTTTCTACATTCTATGTAATATCAATTCTTAGATTAGTAATAATAATCCCGTGATCTTGAATTAGTGATTGGGGATTAATCGACTACGTAATCCCTTGACCATTATTAAGATCACGGGGATTATTATTACTGATCGATTAGTCGACTTGTAGTCAGTAGGGTTGTAAATTTACATCAATTTTTAATTTTTTTATGTAAGTTAAAAGCTATGTAAATTACATGTAAGTTAAATAATATATAATATAATATATACTATATAAGATATATATTATTTTATTAACAATTACTTAACTGACAATTAACTTACTGACAAGGTTATTTGCTAACAGTTAAATTATCAACAAGTTTATTTTACTGACAGTTATTATACCAACAACTTTATTTTATTAACAATTATTTTTTATAAAATACACTAACTTTAACTCTAACTTAATTTTTTATAAAATACACTAACCTTAACTCTAACTTAATTTTATAAAATGAAATTACTTTATTAATGAAATGAACTGCTAGTAAAATAACTATTAATAAAATAAATTTGTTAATAAAATGAACTTGTTGATAAATTAATTATTAGTGAATTAAGCTGTCATTAAAATAATTTTTGGTAAAATGTATACCATCTTACTAGGAATTATATTAAAATAAATTAATCTTATTAGTTAATTTATTATATTATATATATAATAACTTACCATACATTAAAAATTTTGAATATAATTTACATGTAATTTAAATGTAAGGTAAGTATATAAGTTACAACCTTACAACCCTAGTAGTCAGTCAACTAACAGTTTAGTCTGCTAATTGAATCAAAGTTTTGACCAATTCCAATCCACATGTAAGGAACATATATTTAACTCATGTTACATTCATTATCTTGCACATATTTTTCATAATAATGCAATTAGATAGTAAATATAAGATAGATATGTCTATTTTGACGCAGGTAACGTTTGCGATAAATATCACATGATATATCGATCAGAATTGGATGATTTAGTATCATATGATTCATCTCATAGAGACGAATCGAATGGACAAAATCATCCATTTCTAATCACTAAATCATGAGATATTACTTATTAAAGATTGTCTAAAAAATATGTTCCTAATTTGATATAGTGCCTAATTTGACGCAGGTAAACATTTACGATAAATATCATGTGGTGTATCGATCAGAATCGCAAGACTTCGATTCATCTTATCGTGACGAATAGAATGGTACCAAAATCTTGCGATTCTGATCGATATACCATATGATATTTATCGTAAATGTTTACCTGCATCAAATTAGGCATATCTACCTTGGGCTATTTTGGGTAGAAGGAATATCTCGGGAACTATCGATCAGGATCACCTGATTTTGTTACTGTTCGTTGAGACGAATCGAATGATACCAGAATCATATAATTCCGATCGACAATTCACAAGATATCATCGTGCGTC